TCCTCCCCTCTCTTTCCCCACACCTTTCCTCCTCTCCTCTTCCCTTTTCTCTTGTCTCCTCTCCTTTCTCCTCTCCTCCAGGCCTGGCTAATTTCTTCCATAATGGTGTTAGTCTGAGGAAGGATGCCGTGTCAGCCAGCATCCACAGAGTACAGTGTATCCTCCGCTGGTTTGAGTCGCAGCAGCAGCTGGTCTTCTACGCCAGCTCCCTTCTCTTCGTCTACGAGGGGCTCCCCTCCTCCACCTCCTCCTCATCCTCCCTTTCGTCCCTTCTCAGCACCCCGTCCATCAGCCCAACTGCGGGGAAAACTGCCACAATGTCATCTGCGAGCGACAGCGGTCGGGGCGGGGAGGGGAAAGCGAGACCAGAAGGGGCGAGGCAGGAAGAGGAAGTGGAAGTGGAGTATAACAACAACAACATTCAGGTGCCGGCGCCCTGGGACTGCAGCCTGGCCACCATTTACACTAACCATAGGAAAGGTGGCCACCACCACTGTGCCAGGGGTCATCTCCTTGGCGACGACGATGCTGTGGAGACGACGGCGAGCCCAGTCCCTGGAGACAACATCTCAGCTCTGTGTGAAGAAGACAACTCCGCGTGGAAACGAACTGGAGAGTCCCGACAACCGCCGAACGGAAACGGAAACAAATCACAACTGGAAGGGAAGGACGAGGACGGAGGGAGGGAGGACAGAGGCGGGAGGATGCGAGAGGAGGAGGAGGAGGAGGAGGAGGAGGAGGAGGAGGAGGAGGAGCTGAAAGGACGGGGAGGCGATGCAACAGATGGGAGCGGTGGAGACACGGAGGTGGAAGTCAGGATGATCGACTTTGCCCACGTTTTCCCGAGCGAGAGCCACGATCACGGCTACATCTACGGCCTCAAACACCTGCTGACAGTCCTGGAGCAGATCCTCTGTGACGCCGCCTAGAGCCCTCCCCCTCCCTCCTCTAGACCTCGTGACCTGCTCAGTGAACCACCTTCTCCCTTCTGCCAATGTTCCTCTCTCCTCAAAGGACAGACACCTTCACAGGAGGGAGGGAAGAATCAAAAGAGTGAATTTTAAAAACGGAGCCATCGTCATCATCATCTCACCTGTTTATGGCGATCCGTCGGTCCCCTGTGTGTGTGTGTGCGCGCGTGTGTGTGTGTGTGTGTGTGTGTGTGTGTGTGTGTGTGTGTGTGTG